TAAAAAAACAATGTTTTTGCGGTATTTTGAGGTTTGGTTGACACTATTACGATTGGTACTCATCCAGTAACATTCACTGATGCTGATGTTATAATCCTGGTAAATATTATGATCGTTATTTTTAGTCATATACTAAAAAACTATAGAAAACCTGCAAAACACGAAATTTTGTGAAAAAACAGCGCCATCTTTAGTGAAAAACATAAAAATTTAAATTCTGTGAAGAAGTATCTTAAAGTACAGGCCTATATGCCACCAAATATATACGATTAGCCAAGTCCACAAATGCATTCTTTGTCGAAATGGCGTTTAAAGCAAAAAGGATCGATGATTTTTTCGATTTCTCCAAATTTAAGCCGCCATATTGGATTTTATATTGATGATAGTAAAAAAAAAAGGTCAGATTCTTAAAGAGCACACTCAGAACCTACAGTATACGAACTTTGGCTAAACTCGCTTATAATTTAATATAAAATTTACAGCAATGAACAACAGATAAAATTTATGCCATTTCAGGACGAAACGGGTTAATCGATAAAGTTGATTACTATGAAAGTTAGGAAAACTGTCACATTGATGATAAACAGCGATAGGCATATGAACAAAAGGAGGTCCAGAGGGCAAAGCCCCCCCCCCCCTCCCACAGTCACATAGCAACATTCTAATAAAAAAAGAAAAATGTACACATTGTATGGCGTATCATGCGTATGCTGCTTTGGATATAATTCTTATGTACCTTGTATACCTTGCACATAGGAGTTTTTGTTAATCTTTTCATTATCTATTTTAGTAAAGAAGTAGCCAAAAGCGACATAGGCCTCCTAAAGTGACATATCTCTATATCTCATATATTAAATGTTTTATTTTATCGAAACTAATATAAACGTAATTCGTTTTATCAGTTAAGTCATGAAAAATTCATACTTGGTATATTTCTTGTTCTTTTATATACTAAATTAGCAAATATCGAGTTTTAGAAATTCACTAGTTTTATTTCTATGATTTTTATTGACGAATTACATAGATTAAACAGCGATAATTATCTTTTTGTTCAATATTAAGTTCTTCTACATGGATTTGGCTCTTGTAAAAATATTTTTTAAATATTTTTATCTTCATTACTTTTTTACTATATAACTTGAAAAATTTTATGAGAATATATCTTAAAGTGACATATCTACAGTATGCGATAGGTACAATACTCTATGATTAACATAATCTGATTCTAACCTCCCATTATAACGTAACATTTGTTTATTTTAAAATTTAATTTTGTTTAGTTTAAAAATATAACATATGTAAAATATGTGAGAAATGAAAAAGATGAAAATATCAAAGATATGTTTTATTTAATTATATTTCCCTTTTGTAACATTATATTTCGAATAAATGAATATTATTCAACGCATTAGATGCATTAATGAACTATTTATTATCAAATATTATCATATATATATATATATATCATATATATCATATGCAACATGTTATATAACTTCCAATAGGTATGTCGCTTTTGGCAGCCATTTTCTTTGAACTCTATTTTCGTGCGTTTTACAAAAACATTTTTTGTTTTAAATCTAGAAACAATTTCAGTAAAAATATGATATTATCTGATAGGTGGTACTTCCAGCTACATGTATATATATTTACATTTATATTTTGAGCTTTACATTAAGACATAATCTCTAAAAACAAAGTGGTATGCTTTTGATGCCTTTACTCTATATGATAGACTTATCTTTTAGTAAGGCGAAAATTTAATAAAATATTTTACTAATATATATAAAGTATATATCACATATTTCGAAAAGATACAATTCTGCGTGTGCGTGCAGACACACAGATACATACATACATGTATACACAGATACAGAAGTACATATACATACATGTAGCAGAAAGAGTTTATAATCGGTAAATACCACAGGAGTGACGAATCATGGGATCCTTTTCTGCTAAAACTCGCGTTTATGCATACATATTCACACATACACTTACATATATACACTTACACGCACTCACTTATGGAATGCGAAGCCTATACTTTCACATGACACATTTTAAATAACGCAAAAATAGTCTGCAAAAACGCGTTGTGATCGATTTCCATAAATTACAACTAAAAAACCTTTATATCTCCTAAACTAACTACATCACCACTTTTAAACTTTAGTTTCTAATGGCCTGTAGATGACGAATCTGCAGTCAAAACTTAACGCTCCGAAAATCGTAATCTTACCTTCAACGTTACTATACCAAGGAAAAAGTGTTTGATATTTGTGATTTTAGTTATATAATCAAATAATACATACAGAAAAGTCAGTTTTGTTGTGAATGCTACTGTAATGATAATGATAATAATCTTATATATACCTAGCAAGCAAAATGCTGGCACATGCTGGCAGTATACCGGCAGATTGAATCATGGTTATGCAGCCTCATTTATTGAATTATTGAGGTACATTAAGTACCTCTTATTTACAATTCATTATAAATTGTAATTCTTTCATCAAGTTTCAACGCAATTCAGCAAAATTTTCAAAATTATTGAGAAATGTTTTTACGAATTTTTTTCATCAATATTTCATATGTCTTAGACCTCCATGATCACATTTAGTGAGAACGTAAAACGGATTGAGGTAAGCAAGAAATTCCTGTGCCGTTTTGCGATAGTTTTGCGATATTCGCAATAGTTTTCCAGAAATTAATTATTTTATCTCAGCTAATAAGAGCAAAGGAAGCGACAGCCGAAAGAAAGATGTCTTCGGCCAGCGCGTGACCATACATGCGAATCGCGAATTCCTACACTGCATTCCTCTGCCCATAGCTACGAGACATAGCGAGGCTTGAAGGCCATCACACAAAAAATTCCGTAAGAACTTAAAACGTAAGCGTAAAGAAATCGATCAATCCCAATCAAGCACTCGGCTCTTCGTAACCTCTCCATTATTACGAAGAGCCAAATACTCGATTGGGATTGGTCGATTTCCTTACGCTTACAATTTAAGTTCTTACGGAATTTTGTGTGCGATGACCTTAATACAATACACATGTGCATGATATATTCGTGTGCCGAATCGACTCTGAATCGAAACGTGTCGTTACTGCATACGTGTATGAGAGGTGAAAGGACGAAGCGACAACACACTCTTAAGCCTGATCTACAATATGGTCTTTGCATGTTTCTTGTCTTCTGTCTTTTTCTAGCTTAAAGATTAAGGTTTCAGTCAGAAAGAAATAAAGAGAAAGAAGCAGGAAGCAAAGAGTATATTGTAGATCAGACATTAGAGACACCTTGTATATATAATATGTATATAATATATATACAGTGTGTCCCATAAGTTCGGCAACGGCAAGAAAACTCGGCGGGGGAGTATTTTAGAGAAAAATGTTTCGAATAAAAGTTGTAAGGCTTAAAAAGTTGCATTTAATGACAATAGTTATTTGACCTAAGATGACGTCGCCAAGGTCAGGACAAGGTCAACTTTGCTTTTTTAAATAGAAATACATATTTTTT